TCACGTCTGTGAGAGACCCTCGCGTTGCTTCTCTGACTTCCTCCTGGCACTCTTTCTGCCCTTGAACATTTCTGGATCTTTCAGACCTGTCCATCCTTTTCCAGCCCTTCCTGTCACCAACGAAACTACTTCGTAACATACAGGTGCCAGCAGATGTGCATGAACTTGTGCTGCACTTTCACAGTTAAAAGCACAAATGAGAATGAGAATGTTTAGTTTTTAGTTACTCGCTGTGGATTGGGTTAAAGCATGCATCGTCTTCACTTACAGGCTAGAATGATTTGGTAGGTTCCATTTTTTTTTTCTTCTGTCTTATACCCGGTAGGTCATATCCTGACATTGTACCAAGATTTGAGGGAGGCACATCTCACACAATAGTCTGAAAACCGAATCATCACATATGAGCCACAGAAGGCTGTGTGAGAGGCTCTTTTCTGCTCTGAGATCCCAGTTCCACATGACATCACCATACAGCTATGTCAACACTGAGCTTGCCGTCTGGCGCCCGTGTGTGCAGCAGCCAAAGACACGCACTCACTGAGCATGGTCCCATCAGCTCACACAGGGCTCACTTCTGGAAGTCTCGCTCCTGTAGTAGGTTATACATTCCTCATGGTTAAAGACTAGACTTTCTGTATGTTGTGCACTGTACTCAACACACTACTTAGTATAAACATGCATGTAGTAAATGTGAAGGAAAGAAATAGAATGGCAGGAAATTTACAGCACAGAAGATTTTATTTTTCTGTAAGGAGGACCCAGAATATGATGACAGGAATGGAGAAAAATGTAATAGGGACCAGCAGATGGCATAATGGTTATGTGCTGGACTCCCACATAATCCACTACGGTTCAAGTCCTGGACTCGGTGACTTAAAACTCATGCAGAGCACGTGTGTGTGTGTGTGCCCAAAATCCCGAGAGGAGAATGGAGGAGAAGGGATTTGGCATGGTCATCCCCCTTAGGGGGAGGTGATTTCTCACTTTCTGTTGCTCTCTGTCTCTCCAGCAAGAACGTGTGCCCTATAGCAAAAATCTTTCTTTAAAAAAAAAAA